CCCCAAAAACCCCAAAACCCCAAAACCCCAAAACCCCAAAACCCCATACATAGAGCAATTATAGTCGTTAAATATTTAAAATAATTATTTTCAAATAAGAAAAAGAAGAAATGAATAGACGTGACCGCTTATTAAATAATCGTTCCTTCATCGCAAGCAAGGAAAAAGACCGTACATTCCATCATTCAAAGCGTCAGTCTTATAGAGGGATTGGTACCCATCACTCTAAGTAAGCAAAACCCTAAAATTCGCCGGTTTTTCTAATAGAATTATCAAAAACCTCCTCTTTATGAGAGGTTCCTTGCTGGATACTGGTTGGTGAGAGGTCATTAATAAACTTTGTCAAATTTTCCCATCCTCATACTGACCAAAACTGTGTTTTAGACACTTTGACACCCTTGAGGTGCTAGAGTTTCCTCGTTCGATATCTCCTTAGCTTGTTAAAGGATGTAAACTCATGCAATTTTGTAGGCTAAGAAAAGAGACTGACATCCGGAGTTCGATCAGGAGGAAATCAGGCAGTTTTATGAGTATTCCTCTCGCTCTCAAAAGGAAGAAGAGCCTAAATGAGTTATTTACTAAATAAAGCAATGCCTAGGACAATCCAGGTTCCTTCTGATGACTTCAAGCCTCATTGCAGCAAAAAGGTAGAAATCGATAGCCAGACTGACGATATGGAGATTGATGAGAATAATGATATAAACTCAACTAAGGTGCGAAACTTGGCTTCCTTCTACCCGTCCAATTGCTTTAAAGCAATGAAGGATTTAGAGAAGAACAGCTATAACTTTGGCCGCAGTAAGCTGCCCGACATGCATGACTGAGTCAGCGATGAAGAGAAGCTGAGAGTATTTCATCATAAGTGTCAAACTGAGATGCTCAAGGAAAAGCTCCGAGAGCAAGACCTTGAAACTCTTGATATACCAGAGCATCTTGGTGAATATGCCGATGAGGTTTTTGACCATATGCACAATACAGAATTGCTGTACTCGCCCAAGTATGGCTATATGAAAACTCAAAAAGATGTTAATGAAAAGATGAGAGCGATATTAGTTGATTGGTTAATTGAGGTTCACTATAAATTCAAATTACTGCCAGAGACTTTGTACATCACCGTAAATATTATTGATAGATATCTTGAACTCAAGGAGATTCAGAGGCAAAAGCTTCAGCTTCTTGGAGTCACAGCAATGTGGATCGCATGAAAATATGAAGAAATTTATGCTCCAGAACTTAAGGATTTTGTCTATATCACTGATAATGCATATGAACAAAAAGATATTCTTACACTCGAATATGAAGTTTTGATGACTTTGGAGTTCAATGTGACTACCCCTTCCGCTTATAGATTTTTAGAGAGGTATGCCAAGCTGATAGGAGCTGACTCCAAGACTTTCAACCTTGCTTGGTACCTTGTCGAACTCCCATTGATCGAATACAAAATGTTGAAGTACAAGCCATCAGTGATAAGCTCGGCTGCACTCTTCTTAGCAAATAAGGTCTTGAAGAACAACATTAGGTGGAACTCAGCCATGAGCAGCCTCCAACTATTTTCTTCGAGAAGGAAACCTAAACATGAGGTTGAGGTGCCCAAAATTGTGACTTATTCCGAACAAACTCTCAAGCCTTGAGCCAAGGATTTGTGAGTTTTGCTATATGGTATTGACAAAATTAGTCTGAAAGCCGTCAAAAAGAAGTTTTCAGATAAGAAATTTGACGAAGTCGCTCAGATTTTGCTCAAATAATGCAGAGTGGCTTCCACCTAGTAATTGATTTATTATAAATCGATCCAATTCATAACAAAAGTTCTTATCTTTTCCTTTTCTTTGTAAAATCTCGAAATTTTCTCCATAAGAGAAATACAGAAAATCTAGCATGAATATTTTGCCCTGGACCTAGGAAGAGTCGCTCGCTTCGAGAGCAGTTGGGACTGTAGAGCGCTGGCCTAAATTTTTCTGAGTTAACTGATTTTCAGCTTAGATATTTATAATAGGGGTTTTGGGGTTTTGGGGTTTTGGGGTTTTGGGG